GATTCTACTTCCACACAAATAAAAAAACAAACCAAGAGGAGGGTCGTTGGATCGGAGAGATGAGCCAACACATGAACCTATTCGTTCCTTCATTTGAAACGGACCAACATGAAGAGGTTGAACGCAAGACGGAGACGCACAGTGATGGAGGCGTTTGGACGTTCAAAGGCAACAAAGCGGCCAAGGAAGCGGCTAGTGTTTCGATGAAAGGTATCCTTGCGACATTGATTGATAACTGCAGCAAAAACATTAATAAGACCATTTTGCCCCTGGGTCACGGTGATCCTTCCGTCTACCCTTGCTTCCACACTTCCGTTGAGGCGGAGAATGCAGTCGTTGAATCCTTACGATCTGGCGCTGCCAACTCTTACGCCCCCGGTGTCGGTATTTTACCGGCCAGGAGGTAATATTCATGTTATATATTTCTATGAGATTATGTATATGCCTCGTTTTAGTGTCTTGGGATTTCTACACATTACAGTATTAGTGAGAAAAGACGTTTAAATCAGTCCCTAATGGATCAATAAGTGCTTAGGAATCTATCTTATTATTAGTTGGGTGTTACAGCAAATCAATGCTAATAAGTAATACAAATGTTTAAATCAATTCTCGGAATTAGACAAATAAATTGAAGAATGCAAATAGAGAAAATATTTTTAAAAAGATATTCATAAAGCACACGAGTTGAAATGTTATTTGTTATTACGGGAATCATCTAATTAAAGTTTAGGCTATACGATTCAAACGCTTTATGAGATATTGCACAATGCAATATGCATGCTATACATTTTCGAAATTATATACAACCACTACAACTATTTGCTACTCCTATTAATTTAGGGCGGTGGCGAATTATTTGAACCGGGATCTTCCACATAAGATGAAATCAGACGATATCTTTATGACGGTCGGGTGTTGCCAAGGGATAGAGACCATGATTCATGTTCTCTCCAATCCAAAAGCCAACATCTTGCTCCCTAGTCTCGTATATCCTCTCTACCATAGTCACGCAATACATAGCCTAGTTGAGATTCGCAAGTACGATCTCCTCCCTGACCAAGACTGGGAGATCGATCTCAAAGCTGTGGAGGCCATTGCAGATGGTAACACTATCGCTATGGTGATAACTAACCCTCACAATCCATGTGGAAATGTCTACACATATGATCATCTAAAGAAGGTGGAAGTGTCTTACTTTAGTTTAATTTTCTTTTTGAACTTCACTCTTGTTTGTGTTACATTTGTTTAGTATATATATAGGTTGCTGAGATGGCGAGGAAGCTAGGGTTAATGGTTATTTCTGATGAAGTTTATAATCAAACTATATATGGGGATAATCCATTTGTCCCGATGGGGATATTCGCATCCATTTCTCCCGTGGTTACACTCGGGTCCATTTCCAAGGGATGGCTCGTCCCTGGCTGGCGAATAGGTTGGATCGCGATGAATGATCCCAGTAACGTTTTCAAAACCACCGGGGTTGGTTTTCAATCTTTATATCATCTTACGTCATTATAAGTAAAAGTGGTCTTATATTGGTCTAGACCAAAAGCATGTGTCGATTTGAACATGAGACGTTATCTTTGTTGCTCATAGGTCGTTGAATCCATCAAGGAGCACCTCGACATAAGTCCAGATCCATCGACTATCCTACAGGTTTATCTTATGAATCATGATATTTATGTTCGAATAAGAAAACAAATATGCAATGAGTTATGTATATAGGTAAAAACTAAAGTGTTGCTTTGTTTAATTGGAAGTTTGCGCTTCCAAACATCTTGGAGAAGACAGAGAAAGATTTCTTCGAGAATAATAACTCGATACTAAGCCAAAACGTAGATTTCGCTTTCGATGCCCTCAAGGATATTCATTGCCTCATTTGCCCCAAGAAACCCGAGTCGTGTACTTACTTATTGGTAATGAATTTTCTTTATATAGACATATTTTATATATTTTCTTCCACGTCACGAATTATATATACTAGAAATAATACCCACGCTGTGCGCAGATGAAATGCAAATACTCAAACAAAATTCAAAACTTGTTTGTATATATTCAAATTTAAAATTATTTGGTTTAGGAATATGTATCAACTATACATAGAAAATTTGCATAGACCGAACCAAATCAAAATTCACCACTTCAAATGTGAACCGAATTATATAATAATCTGAATGGTACATAAATTCTATACTTAAATACCCTAAACGAACTCTAATTTTACCAAACCTAACCGAAGAGATAAAAAATTACTAAAAA